GGAAACAACGTACAGTAGCAGAAGGGAGAAGTCATAAAAGTGGTGTTTTCGACTGAACAGTAACTAACTCGGCGCAAATACCGTGCGCGTGTCGGACCGCATCCGTCATTCCTAGTTCGCGATGAACGCGAGACGAATTCGCGCACCTGTGACAATGGCGACTTCCGACACGCAGCATCGACTGCGCGCGTGCACCCGTCGGATAACGGCGCTAACGAAATACTGTGACACGAGCCGGGACGAATGTAATCATGAGCACCCGAAACGATTGTGAACCACCGAGAGCCGACACATAACACCGAAACCGCGACAGTCTCTCGTCGACGACGACAAATATTCGCAATGGTAAATTAGGACGAGACGGCGTCAAAGCTTGAGCGCGTGTCGCTTCCCGGCTTGAATCTCAAATGCAAGCTGCGGCACGTATCGCCTTAACAGCTGCGTAATCACGTTAGAACACATTCTCTCTGTTATACGAGGATTCCAAGCATTTTTATGTAGCATATTGAATTCCAGTCGCAATTGCTATAAATATTTCATTATGAATCTTTTTCTACAAATTTTCAATTTCTCTATTAGTCAATATTTTTAAATTTATATATGTGGCAAAAAGTATCTAAAAATGCTGAAAATATATCTTGTACTTATTATCTAATCTGATATATACTTTGTCAAAATATTTAGGAATACAGGACACAGAGTTTTGTAAAAAGTTTTCAGGACCTCTTCTAGAACGGAAATTGGTTACGTTCGCCGACGGAAATAAAAGACAGGCGCACACTGCGATCTCGCGTCACGCTGCTTACCACCGTAAAATATTCATTTTCTTTCGTCGGAGTTAAATTTTAAACAGGATCTCCCGAACGCGAAACTCGAGGTGAGAAAGGGTCGTCCAGGCGGATTTAATTTAAGTTTCGCTGCAAGTTTGCGTCAGATCGAGTGTATTCCAGCGGCATATAATTTTGCCGTTGTTTCGAGCGTTGAAAACAACGTTGCGTACCATCGCCTCGGAGGATGCTGACGGGCATATAAGGCAGCCGCCGCTGCACTGTGTGCCGACGACGCGGTATAGCTAATGCACGCCCAGATAACGACGATAACGAGACACTTGACACCCAGAACGAGCACACTCGATGTGTATCGCGCTCGATGTATGCCACACCTGTGAAACAACTGTTAAGCAACGACGAGGCGTAACATCAGCAGCACGTAGCTCTGGCGCAATCTATCACTATTAGCAACCTATCTGTACATCCGCTCTTCTCACCCTAAGCTGAGCTTATCCTAATCCCTTCGATACTGAACATCGTAGCAACATATGCTCAAGCAATTGTGTATAGACATTATTACGTGTAAAAATTTGTTTAAATCATAAAACTCTGAAAAATTTTATTTCATCCTCAAAACTTAAAAAGTTTTCACGAGAAAATAATAAAAATCTTACTGAATCATTATCAAGTCGTATATGCATAAAATTAACCTAAACAAAAATCGATTTTTATAGCATGTAGCTCAATGTTACTAAATTTTCAAAATATTGAAAAAGAATTCTTAATTTATCTAATAGCGTGAAAGAATAAGTAAAAATATCGTTTATCGAATTAAAGTCAATTCTGATAATCTTTTATTTTATGTGAAAATATATCAAGGTAACAGCTATCATCGACCCACAAGTGAGGATTAAATCTGATAGAGCAGTCAGATTATTGGGGTATGAATTACTATTTTCCGTCGCTGCGATCTGAAATACTCTGTTGCCGGGCCCAGATCTTTTACGTCGGCATAGATTTATCGCGCCGAGTGCTGCGTCGGCGAACAAGGTAAATCAAATTAGAAACGTATTCGCGATACGACGTATTCAGCGCAGCAGCCTAGATCCGTGGCGTAGATTATTTTAAGGGGCAGCCTCGAGGCGGCGGTCGCCAACCCATGAATATGAAACGTGCGAAAGAACTATACTGAATCGTTACGCTAAATCTTTCGGCGACGCCGCCGCGGCGCTTCGTATAACGAGAAAATGACTCCCGGTCTAACTGTCCCTCTTTCGTGTGATTCACTTAACGCTGCGCCACGAAACCGCAAAACGTACGTATCTTAAAACCTGGAATCTTAACTATCGCGCTACACGTTTCCGCACTTCTTCGCTCGTAGTGCAAGATACTCTTAAAATATATTTCCACCGTCTCTCACTTGCGCTGTATTCTAATAAAATAAATATTTTCAAAATTTTAATGAAAATTTCTCTCTTTATCAGGCAGCATAAAATCGGCATAAAGTCAATGATAAAAGTTTAGAGATTTTAACGGATATCTTCATCTATCATACAAATTATAAATACTTGTACATATTTATCTATCAATGTATCTATTTCGCAAGATGCGCCATTTGTTCACAATACCGTAAAACGATCATGCACCGCTTTAATCCCGGAACAGTACGACGACGAATTCCTATTGAGCGCGGACGAATCACGGAGCAGGATGCCTAAGCTCTTTCATAAGACCCTGAATTTGAACTCCGTCACATCGCTCCGGCGAGCAACGCGTCGACCGGAAGGCTCGCCTTATTTCTCTGACAACTTCGGCCGAGGGAGAGATAAATCCCGTCAACGTTCGCGGCAACTTCCGAGCTCGCGGAACTGAATAACGGATATTACGGAAGGAGCGACTGCCGGCGCTACATGCCGGGAACGACACAACTCCGGGACTCGAATAAACCTCGAATTGTGCCGCGTGGCTCGACCGACACGCAATATCCCGAGAGAGAGAGACACACGTGGGGCCGGTGTTGCACAAACGTCGCTTTAGCGCGAAAGCCTGTTCTCTCGATGTGTTACTCCAATACCAACGCGGAGTATTTCGGTGTCCCGATGGGGTCGAATGCCCAAGGGATGTTTTAGTTTACAAGCTCGACATATTACTTAGGGGTGTATAACTCAATTGTCCTATAAATATATAATTTTCGAAATAAGTTAATTTTACGACCGCTGTTTAGTCGCTAAGTTTCTCAAATATTTTATATCGGTTTGAGAAACAAAAAATTGCTCGAGTTTAATTTATTCCCTTTTTTATTTTCTGAACTTGTACGTTATTATCTTCTGCTTTTTATATAATTTTTTAAATTATGGAACTAATTATAAATATTTTTGTTACTTATGATATAATTTACTGAAAAAATCTAAAATTAAGGCAAAAATTTTTGCAGATTTTTAAATATATTATGAATGTATTATGTATTATGAATATATTATGAAAAAGATAATTAAGATATAAAATTCCAGTTTGTGTCATGATTAAAATTTTAAGTAATATATTGAATTAATGCTAATGACATTGATGGCTAACGATACCTTTAAACAGGCTAGAACCACGTCGAGGGGAAATCGTACGATATTGTATACGCGACGGATTTTCTTGTGTCGACTAACTACTTCTCTCCCTTCTATTGCAGTCGCCTGTCTATCCACGCGTCTCCTTCGCAGGCTTCGCACAACTCGAACCGGTACAACCGGAAAGAACCGGCAGAATTCTCTATTCCTCCTTCTCCCGCCCTCCCACCTCCCCCATAATCTCTTTCTTCGCACATTGTCAAAACAAGTACACATATAATAAGATCACAAAGCATTTACTCGAAAAATATTGGTCTACGTACGTCGTATTATACGATAGTATTTCTTTTCTTTCGTTTTTTTTTTGCTTTGTTTCTCTAATAGGTTAGAATAATGTCAACATCATACGAGAATAAAATGGTTATGTGTATCGCTGAATGCGCGCCGTTTCTACTTCTGTGGATTATCTCTGGAATTTGTTCCATAAGCACAAGCACGTTTAGCGCGAGAGAGACTTTAATATTGAAAACCTGATACATTCTTTCCATTTCGGCTAATGTAAGCAAAATGACAAGAATTTATCACGTATAATATAAAATAACATATCGGTCTAAATAAAAAGCAAATATCGAAATACTTGAAAAATCCCGAGCATATTTTTTATTACAGAAACAATAGATATATTAATTAATTTTTAAAACAGAAACATTGCAAAGGTATCCCACTATTGATTCAGAGGTGCGATATATCACTGATTCTTCGTCAATACGGTGAAAATGACGTATAGTATTCCAATTGGTTTTATTACAAAAAAAGTCGTGAGCTCTCGAATGATACTAGTTTCAGTCATCTATACTCTGGGAATATCGGTGCAAATAGAATACGCGTTTCTATTTGCCACGATTCTACCCTCGTCAGCGTATTTACAGTTGAGAATGTAAAGAGTGGCAGCGCAAACTCCGGATTTTTCAGAGTGCGTGTTTATTTTCTGTAGATATGAAAAATTTGCACGCTTGAATAAGCGATCTAAATTCACAACGCACGAAAAATTACTAACTATATTCTAAACGGTTCTAAGATCACTGAAATATTTTATTTAAACAAAAAATTGTATATGAAAAGAACATATCATGGAAAATTATGAATATTATATAAGAAAAATAGAACAAACATTCGAAACAAGCTCAATAATTTTTCTATTATTTTTATAGATTATTTATTTTTATTTACTCTATATATGCTATATCATTTTTAACAATAAACTTCCACGAATCGTATTTAATAAAATAAAACACACCATTGCAACATGTCATTGGACATATTTGTGGTGTAGTCATTCTGCCATTTTTCGTGTGTAGAGAATAAAAGACATAGAAAATCAATATGTCTGACTGACGATGGAATATTTCATTGAATATTCGTATACTGCTTTACAAAGCCGCGACGATAGTGGCAACAGTGGTTGTTCAGTGGCGGTAAGTTCACTGTCAGTGCGTATCGAATGAAAAGAAAGAACGTGCGATCACGTGATCGCGTATAATTCGAAAATGTAACATTGGCGCTATTCGTTTCTCAGAAGCGGAGAGAGATTCTTTTCATCTCCGTAAATGACTTTGTTACTCCACGCTTATCTCGTGTACCTATATTGAGTATACATGTCATGTGTACTTACCGAAGAGTCCTTGAGGCAATCTCGCGGCAGCTGGGAAGACGTAAAAAGCATCCACCGATGAGACGATCTTTGGCAACAAGCGTCACGGCCGGTGTGACGTAATGGCGTTACTTTTGCACTGACGATTCAAGCTGAATACGATTGTACGACACTGACTCGCGGTACAGATTCGTATATGTCACTTCGCAATAACACTCGCGCGATAATTCGTGCGACGATCGAGAAGTGATGTTCGCACAGACCGTACAACACCGGCGGCAAACCAAGAAGAGCGCGAAACGATCCTTCCACAACGAAGGCCGGAGCACGACTGACTTGAAGCGTGTCGCTCTCGCGCGTGACCGGCGACGGTTCACTCGTTCACTGCGAAATGCGCGCCGCCCCTTCTCTACCGGCCCGGAGTGTCTCGTGGTACGTATCAATCTCTCACGGACGGCCTCACACGATTATTTCCTACACGGCGACAAGTTAAACGACACCTACCACTGTAATTTGCAATTTTATAATTTCGCGCAATTATTGTCTCATAAAGCCTGGCCTGTGACCACATTAAAAAATCACTCGAGCTTCCCGGCGAACGATTAGATATCCCTGAGAACGAGCCGAGTAGAAGAGTATTAAATTTATGCAATATATTTTTAAACAAATTTATATTCAGTCAATTATCAACTTCGTGACCTCGCATGATATAATTTGATTTTTGATCGCGTTTCAGGTATGTAATTTGCAACTTTATAATTACATGTAATTAGAACTTCGTAAAAAGACTGTAATTGTATTAAATACTACCTTTAGAGGTTATCTTTCAGTGCACTCATAATGTGAATGGCATAATTTCGATTTCATGCGGTATATTTCCATTGGTCAACATCCTATACCTGTCAATCTCCTAGCCTCACACAATTATTCCTGATCCTGCTGTCACAAGATAAACACATTCGCGGTATGTAATTTGCAGTTTTTATAATTCGATGCTATTATTATCTCGCAAAGCCGTTATAATTGTTTCAAACGCCTCTTTATCCTTTTGTACTACATGGCAATATTAAGCCTTGAATATTTTAACTGCGATAAAATTCGTTGATAATGAGTTCCTATTTATGAGTTTATATGATTTAATAACGATAAATATATTATTGTTGTATTAAACATCTTCGCGTTCCTATTGCGTTTTTCATTTCGATAACGTGCTAACGTTTTATGGTAGAATGGTTACGATACAGAGAAATCATTTACGCCAATTATCGACGTATCATCGCGGAATTAATCGAAATGCATCCGTGAACGAGAATTATCATTTACAATCAAGATCGAATAAATAGTGGTAGAGGTGATATATATTTACAATCTGAATATTGTGTCGATTAAAAATTTATTATACGGAAGATCGATTTTAACGTTCGTATGCACACAATATAATTTATTATAAGTATAATTTTAATTTATAATATTATATATTATTGATATACTTAATTCTCTTTTTCATACACGCACATAATCGATCTTACATAACCTTTATTGCCAAAAATTTATCTTATTATGTATAATAATATCTATGTACATGTCGTAAAACAAAACAAAACAAAACGTACAGCCAAATAATAAATATTCAAAAAAGTTTGCCGCAGCCAGCAATAAGAATTAAATTATAGTACAAGGCACTTGTGTATTATGTTTATACTTGAAAAAGAGCTAAGAAATATTTTAAAAACGTTGCTCGAATCTCGCATTCACAGCTTTGTTTATGTTTTGAAGGTTGGTACCCGGTTTTCCTAGAAAACGCTCGCGCTTCGAGCCAATCCGACGCTTTCTCCCTCCCTAGCCCGGGCCCGGAGGCCGAAGTGCGCCCGCTCTGCGTTTCTCGTATGTTTTTACTCGGTAAAACGTATATCGCGTGTAATAAGTGTCCGGAACATCGAATTGAACGACAGACGATTATTTCAAAGCGTCTATTAAGTCGCAAAATCACGATTTTTCGTTTGAGTTCGTGAACAGTGTCGAAATAGCCTATCCATCGAATCGTTGCACATTTCGTCGCGGAATTCAATCTTTTTTTGATGCGCGTTTATGCAAATTTTTCATGTTATTCGCTTACCGGACAAGTGCCACAAGTGCTATTTAACATCAGAAGCATCGAGGAGCATCGATGGAAATATAAAGGTATTGTTGCGACGAATTAATCGAAATCGTCGCTATAAGCAGGCATATATTTCAGATATTGAGATATTCACTGTGAAATGAGACGAATAAACGTGACATTTTGTGTCGAGTGTTCCCGGCCGAATCGTAATTGCTTTTCACGTTTTTTTATCCGCATTGTTGAGTGTGACGCGAGGTGAAAATAAACACTCGCGGCGTCTCCTTCCTTTTGTTGAAGAAAACTAACTTTATTATGAAAAATGCTGCCACAATGCAGCCTTGTAACACACGCTACCGTGCAAGACGGACGTACAACGAATATATATATAAAAAAAAAAACACACGAAAGTGCAGCAGGGGAGGGGGCCCCTCTTATGCGGGACCCGCGACATCTGCTGGAATCACGAAGGATTCAAGCCTCCTATCCAGGCTTCCTTTTCTAACGACAGCCGTCAGCCTTAGTCTCAACATACCGGCCGCCTTGGAAAGCTTAGTTTTACAAATAAAATAATTCTTATTGAACTTATGAATAGAATAATCTTTGGTAGCTGACACCAATCTGAAACAGAACATATGATAATGCTATTGATGAGAAAACTTAGCCTAACGTTGAATGATTATAAATAATAATGATTATTTTCCATGGGAAGTTAGACTCAGTTTGTT